TTATGACATGGCTACCGTTGATTAGTGGAATTGTGATTAAATTCCAAATATGTTTTTTATAAAAATCCATCCACATCATTTAATTAGATAATAATATATTTAAAAACTAACAGAACGACCTTGTTTAGCAATCAGCGGTTAGCTGTTAGCTGTTAGCGGATTGTGACAGTTGTTTTGACCAACGGGTTATGTTAGCCATTTGACCGGCGGATTGTGTCAGCAGTTTGTAAAAATGGTGTTTGGTAAATTAACTGTTTGTAATTGGCTGTTAACATGCAAAATTACATAAAAAAGGACATTCATAAACTTTAATTTTCTTTTTCTTTTTTTATGTTAACCTTGTAATTGTATAAAAAATGTAATTTATTTAGATTTTTTTTATATATTATTATAAAGTGATTCAAGTTAATATAAAAATACAAATCTATATATATATAATTGCTAGATAATCTCATTTAATAAAACATTTAATAAAAATATTTTCACTTTCCCTCCAAAAGGAGTTACATTTTTTTAATTAATTACTCATTAATCTCACATTTAAAAAGGTTTTTTATAATATATATAATTGCTAGCTAATCCCATTTAATAAAACATTTAATAAAAATATTTTCACTTACCCTCCAAAAGGAGTTACATTTTTTTAATTAATTACTCATTAATCTCACATTTAAAAAGGTTTTTTATAGTTAAATTTAATTAGTTATTGACTAAATAATTTTTTTTTAATTAATCCCACATTTATGTTAAGTACAGTATTATCTTAATATCTTGTTAGTTTTTCAAAAAAAATAGTAACTTTTTTCAATAAATTTTATAAAAATTAGTCAAATGTGCTTATATTCATATAAATCAGAAAAAAAAAATTAAATCTTAGATATATAAAAAGAACATCGTTGAAATAACTTGAATCCGCAAGGGTAATTCTATACTCATTATCAATTACTTTAAATTTTTTGCTTATATAAAAAATTAATATTATATTTACTCATTTATATTTAGATGGTATTTTTTTATTAAGAAACAAGGACAATCTCTATCAATCAATAAGAGTCGAGGACAAACAATATAAAGAAGTGTTTCCTATGCTATGACATGATCAATAAGAGTCAAAGACAGTCTCTGTCGCACGTCGGCTTACTACTGAAGAGCTCTGCATTTAGTCATGAGCAATTATACGTGGCGCTTTTTAGAGTTACGAGTCAGTGAGGTTTGAAGATTTTGATTTTGAGCTGAGGGAATTTTTGACGATAGAAAAACCACGACGTTGTTTTATAAAGAAGTGTTTAAGAATATTTATATTTTTTTTCTTAATTTTTTTTAATAAATTTGTTATGATTTTTACTATTGTTTATAATTTTTATTATTTTTTCATGTATCATATAGTTTTCCGTGCAAATGCACGGGACAAAAACTAGTAATAATTAAAATGACAACACTTCTAAATTGAATAAATAAGTTTGGATAAGAGAAATTAAGGCAAGGGCAATCAAGGCTATGAGAATTTTAATTGAATAAAATGACGATACTTTTTTTATATAATAACAACACTTTTTTTTTTTTTTTTTATAAAATGACAATAAGTTTGGGTAAGAGAAATAAGTTTGAATAAAATGACAACACTTTTTTTATATATTATTTTAGAATTTTAATTTGAAGAACGAAGCTATGAGAGAAAAAAAAAAGGCAAGGGCAAGGCTCTTTATTTTTGATCTTTGAAACGCTGAATAAAAACGCTCCAAAAAGCAGCGTATTTAATTTCAACGGATAGATTCAAAAACGCTAACTGTATAAGTTATTTATCAAACTATTTTTTTAGCTGATGAAAATAATCAAGCAAGCTAAGTGGTTGAAAATGCTAATTTTTTAGGCAAAAAACCATTAACCAAACGAGTGGGATAGTGTAATGTAATTCCATTAAAAATATTACTAATGTAATATAAACTACAATTAACCATACCACTCAACCAACGGAAAACAAAAATCCACGACTGGACCCGGCCGACCCGTACCCGACACAGCTGTAGACATATATATATCTGCTCCAAAAAACGGCGGCTTTCGAGGTTTAACTAAACCCCGACTGCAACTCAATCTAGGGTTTTGTTAGCAGTGAAGGGAAAATGTTGAAAAGGAACGTGAGGCTGAGGAGGGAGTACCTCTATCGGAAAAGCTTGGAGGGCAAAGAGCGTTTGCTCTACGAGAAGAAGCGCAAAATTCGCGAAGCTTTGGCAGGTCATTGCTTCCATTCCTCTTTAGTGGATTGGAAATCGAAAAAAAAAAAAAAAAAAA